GCCAGTTTATGCACAAACCCACGGAGAACCATTGGCAGCTCATGAAACGTCTCTTGCGGTATCTTCACGGAACAGCCTCTCATGGTTTATATCTCCGTCGGAGTTCTCACCTTTCATTGTGTGCTTATGCTGATGCAGACTGGGCGGGAAATCCAGATGACCGATCCTCTACCAGTGCTTATGCCATTTTTCTCGGAGAATCGCTTATTTCATGGAAGTCCTCCAAGCAACGCACAATTACCAAATCCTCAACCGAAGCAGAGTATCGGGCCCTATCCACTGCTGCATCTGAAACTCTTTGGATTGAGTCACTTCTTCATGAGCTTCGACATTCCCCTTCTTCTCCTCCAGTTCTTTTATGTGATAATAAAGGCACTACCACCTCTTCTGCCAATCCGGTATTCCATTCCCGAATGAAATATGTTGCCATTGATTTCCATTTTGTTCGTCAACGTGTGCAACGTGGCCTTCTTCGGGTTCTTCATATCCCCTCGCATGATCAACTACCTGACATTCTCACCAAACCCCTTTCACGACAACGGTTTGTTTTTCTACGTGACAAGCTCAGGATTCTCAGCACTGATAGAATACCTGGCTTGCGGGGGCATATAGACAGAAGAGTCTAGATAGCTCTAGAGATCAGTTACATGAGTTACAAAATAAATTAGAATATTTGTATTTAATATTTCAGTTACAAATCTTTGTATTTAATATTATAATTAGTAGCCTAGCTCTAAAATGTTGTATAAATAGGATATCATTTCATGGAATGAATCAAGCTTTTCAGTCTCAATTCCTCCTTATTCTAAACTTTATTATAAAACACATGTCATGCATTGAAACCAATACAACAACAACAACAACATCCAAGCCTTAGTCCCAAAAGATATTGGGGTCGGCTAACATGAATCGATACATGATATCACAACCAAAAGGAAAAGAAGGAATAAAGATAAAAAGATAAGCTATTATGAAAAGATAATATAAAAAAGATGAATATATATAGAAATGATAAAATAAAAAGGCTGCAAATAATGCATATATATATATATAAGGATAAAAAAAAACTAGGAAAAAAAAGATGAGGGAAAAAGATTATCAAGATCACTCCTTCACGTGAATACCCGCCCTCCACTTAGTTCTCTCCATAGTCATGCTCTCATCCAACCCCAGAAGAAGCATATCACTTCGAACTCCCCTAACCCACGTCTGTTTGGGTCTTCCTCTCCCTCTCTTCCCTGCCTCTTCTCCACACATCTCAACTCGCCTAACAGGTGCATCACTCGGTCTTCTACGCACATGACCAAACCACCGTAGGCGCGACTCCCGCATCTTGTCTTCAATAGGTGCTACTCCCACCCTTTGTCTGATTGTCTCATTCCTCACGCGGTCCTTCCTAGTATGCCCACACATCCAACGCAGCATGCGCATCTCTGCCACACTCATCTTTTGAATGTGACATTGTTTCACCGCCCAACACTCTACGCCATACAGTAATGCATTGAAACCAATGAACAATAAAAATTTGAAATTAATTAATTTATCATTACCAAATCAATATTTTGCTGTAAGACCCCTTCATTCTCACTGCTTCCACTTTCTTCTGTTTCTTCTTCCATATTTGATATTTTAAAACCTGGTCCACTGCAAGGTGTGGGGATGACTACATTGTCTGTTGCTTCATCCTGGACTTGTGGTTGTTTTGGTGGTTCTTCATTTGTTGCTTCTGCATCAAGTCCATTGTTGTTGATACTTTCAGTATGCTTTTCACTTCCAGCCTTGTTGCCATCCATCAGTTCTTCATCTCTAGATGCCTTTCCTTCTGTATTCATCTTCTTCACGTTCTTTGAAAGTTCCTTCACCAAACGAATCAGCTTAGTTAGCATCACCTCCTGTTTGTTTTGCTTGTTCTTCAAATCCCTTAACTCTGCCATCATCTTGAAATTTTGTTTTACTTGGTGGTCAAATCTCCTCAGCATCATTTTCTTCACTCCCCTCTTGGAAATTTCTTCTTCACTTTCCTCATAACTCTCATCCTCATCAGTTTCCTTTGATGCTTTCCTTTTACTTGCTTTAGAGCTGCACTCTGGTTTGTCTTTATGTGTTTTCCCCTTTTTGCTTGCAAACTTACCCTTTCTGGTGTTAACTACGACTTCTTTTGTTCTCAGTTTGCCATTTCCCTTTGCTGCGACTTGTTCATTCTTCCTCTTTTCTTTTCCATCTGCTTTAATCACCTGCAGTAATCCTAGTTCTTCATCTAGTAACCTTGCTTCAGCAACACCTTGAATATTTTCCATCTCTTGTGCAGTTGGCACTATGCTCTTCCACTCAAACTGTAAACACACAACACAAATATTTCTACATTACACATTTCTTCATTTATTAAGGATAAGTAAATTTAAAAACATATAAATTTCAATTACCTCATCATTATCAAATATAAGATCACAGAAGAGTTCCATGGATGGCTTTTTCTGGAAAGCCCATTTCAGTGTTCTTGGGATCACATTTTCTCTGTCTTCAATAATGCTGCACAGCCCTGTGTTAGCTAAAATCGGTAATGTTTCAAAAGCCCAGATTTGAAGTACATGCATGCATCCTGGGAATGCAACTCTATTTCCTCCACACACGTTCAGTGTCTGTGCACTTCTATTGATGTTTGTAACCAAGTCCTCCCACACATCATCCCCCCAAGGATATACGTTGAAGGCTTCAATATCATGTACTAACTTTATGTACTTTGCTGGTAATGGTCTAGACATTTGGTGTCCCAGTAAACCATGTGCTAACACATAAAGCAGTGCTAACTTCAAACCATCTTCCTTTTCTATGTGTGGATCACCATGGTTATAAGCCTCCAGAGCACTTATCACATCTTGTCTCGTAATTACTTGCTTATTTCCAAAATGCCTTCTACAGAAATTTCCTTGTAACTGAATATCGCCTTGTAACTGAACATTTCCTATCGTTCTGTCACCACCAACCTTCAGCCCTAGCAGCAACGCCATATCTGATCTGGTAAAACTTATCACACTGCTTCCTATGTGAAACCTTATCACACTAGTTTCAGCAATGTTGTTAAATTCCTCAATATAGCTCCCTGCAAGTGCTATGCACAACTGGCCACTCAACCTTGGCATCTGTTCAATGTCAAGCATCCATCCAAAAACTGTGTTTTTGAATGCTATTAATTCCTCTTCACTCAGTTGCCCTTTTATTTTTTTTGCTACTTCACTTAGATTGCTATTGGCATTTAGCCTCAACTTGTCCAAACTTCTAAGCAGTCCAGTTTCACAAGTGCGACTGATAGTCTGTATTTAAACAAATTTCATTACTATTAAATATTTCCATTCATTCAAAACAAAATCACAATTTGAACATTTGGCACTCTTACACATGGTTATTGTAAAACATTGCCTAATTACACATTTGAAACACTAGTATTTGGAACTTTTGCATGATTGAGATAGTCTAAAACATAGCAATATTAGAAATCATTGAGGTACTCAATAACTTATTTTTCAGTAAAAATTTTATAACAGTTATTTTTGGCATTTTTTTCCATAAAACAGGCATTTTGACGCAATTCTTCTTCTTCAACTCATTGATTCTGTCGTGACACATCTTACAACTCTAACATTTGTCAGTTTTTGCCACATTACAGTTACTTTGCCATAATACTTCTTATTCACCATATTGACTCTGTCACGACACATCTTTCAATTCTATATTTGGCAATGATTTCAAACTACAGGTACTTTGACACAACTATTCTTATTCAAGTCACTGACTTTGTGATGACGCATCTTTCAACCATAATAATTGTCAATTTTTTCCATAGTACAGGTAATTTGACAAACTTCTTGTTCTTCAAGTCATTGAGTCTCTAATGACACACCTTGTACACCTAACATTTTTCAATTTTTTCCATACTACAAGTACTTTGACACAATTCTTCTTCTTCAACACATTGACTTTGTCATGACACACCTTGTACGCATAATATTTGCCATATTTTTCATAATTCACCCATACTCATAGAATATATTATTATTCATAGTTTGCCAACATTAACATTGACAACTTTTGCCCTAATTTAAATACTATAAAACATGATTTAAGTATTACAATATGAATGGACAATAACTCTCTCAAATCAGTGACATTAATACACTTATTACATATAGAATATAAACATTACAGACAACTTTACAACACCTACACAATACATAGCACGACATGCACACAACTTTCATTACATTTACACTTTCTATTGTCAATGATTATTTAAGCATTACAAAATTCATAAATGGACATGATTAACATCGCTTTAACACTTATATTTCTTCTATAGTGAGTACAACATACCACTTCGTTGTTGATTCTGACTTTTTGGCCATGTGATTGAAAATCCGAATCAGCCATGATATCTGTTGTTCTTATCACGAAGTTTGTCCTTCTTCAGGCAAATATCGTCCTTCTGGCCAAGTTTTACTCTGTAATCGGCACTTCGTCCTCCCTATGGCCAAGTGTTGTCAGTTTCTCTCTAGTGTTGTGCGCTGTTGGTTGTGTTCTCCAGGTTCGCGCTTTAATGGAGGCAATTGTTATTTTACGCGAATGGGAGAAGTTTTGTCGGCTTCCTGTTTTTGTTTTTTTAAAATCTTCCTTTACCTGTGTAGCCGGTTACTTCCACCTGCTCAGCACGTCCGCAGCACGCGTGATTTCAAAACGGTAATACCTTTAGCTTCATTAAGGGCATTATGGTCACTTGCATATAATTTCCGTGTCAAACGTGGTTGACCAAGTAAGACTCCTATTTTGGAATAGGTTCTATGTTCTACTCCCATATTGGTAATTTTCTCATGTTAAAATAACTAATTAAAATTTACCATCATTGACTAAGAAAATCAATAATGACTAATGAAATTGAGATTAATGGAAATCCACGTAATTATAACACATTTTACATTGTCATTTATAGCCTTAATCTCTTTTCTTCTGGTAAGTTCATGCCGATTTTGCTGTGACATACATGCCAGACGCCAGTTATCCACATACGTTTTCTCTTCTTACAAGTTACAATCTTCTCTCTCCTCCCTTCATCTTGTCAATTTCATTGTTCTTGCATTAGCGATCTCTTTGCTACTATATTACCCCGTATTTCCTCTCTTTCTGCAATCTACGTCTACCCGTGAGTTCAAACGCATGCATTATCTCTTAATGTAATGACATTTTCATGTGCTTGTGTTCGAATTATACTCCGTACTATCTAGCGAGTTTCTTTTGCTTCCTTGGCTTACAAATATGAATTAATTTCAATTGTATTGCGTCAAATACTTCTTAGGTAAAGAAGTTTATCGATATATTGATAAATTGGCGTTAGTTTCTGAAGCTTTATCTGTAGAGCTTATTACTCCATAATTTATAATGTATGATTTGATAAAAATAATCCGTTTCTTTCATTGTTGTGACCGCCCTTTGGTCATTGGATAGTACTTGATTCTCACTAGTAGTGCACTAGTGCCAAACATGGGGCTGTTTTGTTTTGTTTATGTACTATTGGCTGAGTATTTTAAAAGAAAAGATTCTGAAAGAGCCCTCCATGGCAGCAAGAATTGTTTGCGTTGCACGATTAGTGTATGCTTCCGCTGCTGCATAAGAAGAAAATTAAAAAGTTTCGAATTTTCAACAGAGACATGTTTTTTTCTTGAAAAAGAAGCTTAGTGAAATTCAACATTATATTCTTCTATTTGAGCTTCAAAGGTGATCTGTGTTAATGAAATGACCTCAAATGAGTAGCATTTTACAGATTTTTTTCATTGCCACTATTTCTTTTCTGGTTTATTAGGTTCTAGGAATCCTGTTTCCAAAGAAATACATCTGATGCTCTCCCTGTGAGGCTTACTTTCATTTTTTCCGACAGGTAAATGATGAAGTTCAGAAGGGAAAATATTGCAGGTTACAAGCTTTCAAGACAGAGCTGACCAATATAGTTGTAGTATACTCCTAACACGAAACTCACTTAATAGCAGCCAATTTTAGATGATAACTGCTGGTTGCAGCTTGTGAAGGCTGTATTTAAGAATGTTGATAATTTTTTTGTTGATGACTTGCAATGAAAACTGGAAGTTCTACACTTCTTTGTCTTTTATGATGAACGTATGCTCTGACGGATGTTATCAGCCAAGTAAAAAACACTGTGTTGAAAACAGTTTAGAAACCTCTACCAGGAGGTTAGAAGTCCATTGAGAAAAATTTATCTGCAGTGCTGTAAATTTCACAATGGAAAAGTGAGTTTCTTGTGAACTTCATTTTAGTGTACTTTGCTTGGTATGCTGTTTCATTTGTTTCTAAATTATTACATTCAGATACAAGATACTGAAAGAACTTGGGGATGGAACATGCGGAAGTGTATATAAAGCCATTAAAACGACAACAAATGAGATTGTAAGTAATTGTTTCTGTGATATAATTATACTTCTATATCTGTGCAATTGTGCATTTTTTAAAACATTGATGCATATCCATTGGTGATGACATCAGGTGTTAAAGAGAAATGTGCTGCATGATCTTAGAACTGTTAGGAGTGGACTGAGTGGTTCATTTTGACATCAGAGTCCACCTTCTCATTTCAATCAATTGTCTCTACTTCTATGCCCCCTTTTCCTTAAATTTTATTCCTTTTGCATTTCAAAATGGGGAAATGATGTTTTTGTTTTACATTTTTAAAATTCACATGCTTATTTTCATCTTTGTTTGCACTTTTCCCTTTGCTATTGTCAGTCAGTGTTATTTGGTTCTAGGAAATGCATGTAGTAAATTGTTTTTGCTGCAGGTTGCAGTGAAGAAAATGAAGAGAAAATTTTACAACTGGGATGAGTGCATAAATCTGCAAGAAGTGAAGGTGTGCAACTGTTCAATTTTCTCTCATTTGAAAATACACTGGCTAGTAAAATTATGTGCTGTGATAATGTCATAACTCATAACACAGGTGTGGTAACTGGTAATTAATATCCGGTGTGTATTTTTCTGCAGTCCCTTTGTAAACTGAGTCATCCTAATATCATCAAGTTGATAGAGATTGTCAGGGAGAATAATGAGCTATTCTTCGTGTTTGAGTACATGGTTGGTGTGGTTTATATACTCTTATACTTTATTTTCTTTGTGTATGGATTACTCATTAAGCGATGTGTCTTCCCAGTAATGAAACATTCCTGGATATCGTTTTTTTCAATCTCATTTTACTTGCCTAGTTCATAAGACAGATACTATAAGCAAGCAAATAGTATTGTGAATGGGGATGTTGTGGATTTGCTAGGAAAACAATTTGTACCAAACAATGAGAGAACGAAAACGATATTTTTTAGAGGAGGACATCAGGGGGCTGTTGTCTCAGTTGGTGCAGGGACTTGCTCATATACACAGAAACGGATACTTTCATAGGGATTTGAAGCCCGGTATGTTATGATTGTTTGCATGTGTATGCAATATTCACAGTTGAACCTCGTTATTTTCTAAGCTGCAAAACTAAGTTATTATCGTTGTGCTGAATCCAGAGAATTTACTTGTAATGAATGACACAATGAAAATTGCTGACTTTGGACTCGCAAGAGAAGTTTCTTCGATGCCTCCTTTCACAGATTATGTTTCCACACGCTGGTCAGTTTTTACTTTAGCAGATCGACGTGTGTCTCTATATGCCATAAATCATATTTCACAGCTGTATTTCTATGTTTGTTCTAGGTACCGTGCCCCAGAAGTCTTGTTACAATCCTGCTCATATACACCTGCCATAGGTACATACTCTACAATATCTACTCTCTTCCTTGCTTTCCATAAACAACTTCTAATTATTTTCTTTTGTCTCTATTAGTAGCCAAACTCTTGTCTCTTTTACAGAGTAGTAATCAGTTATTGGTCATTGATTTTTTTAATATTTTGAGTATTTTACTAGGTTCTCAATTAAATATTGCACCAGCTGATGATCTGGCATACATTTTAAGTATTTCGGGGTCATGTGTATATCATTTGATTGCTGATGGTTTATGACTGATATATGCAAACAATTAACACAGATATGTGGGCTGTTGGCGCAATACTTGCTGAGCTTTTCACTTTGTGCCCTCTTTTTCCTGGTGAAAGGTGTGATATATAAGTTATAGGCCTTGATTATATGCATGCATAAAAGGGTTGAGGGCAGTTTCTCCTTGTAAAGTTTAGACTATTTTCCACCTTGTTTGTTGCCATCAAGAGTTCACATTTGGCGCTTGTTAATATTTTTAGAAAGGGATACTGTGAACACCCATTACAAGAGCTCACACATGTATAAAGTCCGGGGGGGGTCTGGACATTATCTACCTTTTTTATAGATTTTATCATTTATGTTTATATTGTTAGTGAACTTAGAAATCATTGATCTTGTAAACTAGTTACAATTATGATGAATAACAAAATACTCCGTATATCTGTATATTGCATGCTGTCTCATTTTAGCCACTCTTTGAAAGACAGGGGTCACATAAGTATACTCCTAGACACAGTAGAGTATATCAAATGACTACACATCGGTAACATCAAAAGACTATACTCTTGAATTATATCAAAAGACTCAACCCTTCATATACTACTTCATTAATTAATTCAACACCTCCCTTTAACCTCTTGAGTCATGCTTGTTGCATGACTCTGAGACTCTCAAGACTATCACTGAAGAACTGGACTTGGCAATAATTTTAACCTGTACTCTACTTGAAACTAACTTTGGACTTGAACTTTCAACAAAGAACTCTACTTGAAACTAACATTTCCTGTTGCTGGTATAGCAATTCTAGCTGCTATATTAGCACCTCCGATCACTGGAATGGTTACCTTGCTCTAATACCCCATGTTGAGTAACAAAAACTTTATTGCACGTTATCTCTTTTGGTCCAATCGTTCAAAGAGGCATCACACACTCCCATATATGGATACTCCTAGAAAGTAGAGACACCTATAGTATTCTAACAGTGTATACGGCTATACGCAGGTAGCATTAAACGATACACACATGGGTAATATCCAAAGACTCAACCCTTCACATCTACTTAAATCAGTATAACGTTTTCAATCTTAATTTTATTTGGAAGGTTATCCAGTTTAACTTCTGGGGAATTGGGAACTTTTTAGCCTTAGTGGCTAAGCTGAAATTGTTAGTCAATGTTGGTTTAAGTGTGGCCAATCTTTGTTTTTCTTATGACAGTGAAATTGATCAGTTACACAAGATATGCTGTGTTCTTGGAACTCCAGATTGGAATGCCTTTCCTGAAGCGAGAAACATCTTTCGTCTGGTTGACATTAGTTACCTACGTGTGAGTTAACTCTACTCGTTTAGAGGATGAACGTTGTTTGGTTGAGGATGAACATTGTTGTTATCCCCTGATGTTCTCCTCTAAAAAATATAAGACAAATCTCATATTATCTCCTTCCCCTCATGTTCCCCCCAAATTCCCAACCAAACAAGGTTTTATGCTATCCCCAAACACACCCCATGTATTCATTTTGTAAAGGGCGGCATGCTAATTTTTTATTAGTATCCTTGTTTCTTGTTTTGGTAGATTCTGCCGGTAAATCTATCTGATGTCATTCCCAATGCAAGCATGGAAGCTATTGATTTGATCCAGGTAATCTATCTTCTTAGGGTTAAGAGTGCACAATCCCAACATTTACTGTATAGAATAAGTGTTGAGTGGGTTCTGATGTTGACTTGCGTTTTATGAAACAAATAGCAACTATGTTCATGGGATCCATTAAGGAGGCCAACCGCTGACCAGTGCTTGCAGCATCCCTTTTTTCATGTAAACAACTTTTTTTTAAGTTTGTCAATTTGTTGACGTCAGACACTCTTCTTGTTATTGCTTTCTGTATGCATGATACACTGGATAAAGCACCTTACTCTGATAATAAACAGGCTCGGATATGGATTCCACGCTCATTGGGTGGTCCAGTGCAGATGATGTCAAGTAATGACGGTGAGCATGAGTGCCATATTTTCAAGAGACCTTTATATATACGTATATGTGTGTGTATGTGTGTGTTTATATATAGATTTTGGATCAAATAAAAATGTCATTCCCATGAAAACTAATAATGATGTTAAGTAACTGAAGAATCCAAGAAGAAAGTAGTAGTTTATTAATGAAAATTTAGTGAAGCAATACAGAAAGTCACGAAAGGAAAGGTTTGAGACTCTTCGAGTGGTCTCTCACTCCCAATATCCCAGTCCTGATCCCAAGTTCTGCCCCCCCATCTAATCCCCACTCACCCTTATTTATTCTATTTCTAATGGGCCAGCCCACTTCTAATAAGTTGTAGGGCCTAAACCCTATTATTGAACAAAACTAAAATGACTTAATAAGGCTCTAATTCTTGGTAGTGTTCAGGTCCCTAACATCACTCCCCCCTTTAACTTCCACCTTGTCCTCAAGGTGGATGATAAGAGACTGATTTTGCATTAGGTTCCAGCAAGTTTTCAGCTCCATCCCGCTCATAAAATTGATCTACTGTGCCCTCCTCTTCTTCTGGCTCTTCCCTCAAGATCAATTGATAATGTTTCATTCCACAAACATGCTCTTTGCCCCATTTGTTTCCACATTTGAAGCATAAGCCCTTCTTGCTTCTTTCTTCTAAGTCTGCTTGTGTCAACCTTTGGCCACCTTCCCATGTCTTACTCGGTTTTGGCGATTCCTCCAGTTTGTTCTCTGAAAGTGTTCTCTCCGGATTTAACGCAGGTGTTCTTCCCTTTGTTGCGTCTACCCAGTTCCAGGGTCTAACCATTTTTCCTCCCTGTTCCTTCCAACCTATGTTGTCTTCTTCTTTATTTTTTTTCCCTGTCCACACCTTATTCTTCTGCTCCAACAACAAAGCCTTGTCCATCAGTTCAGTTAACCCACTGGTCTGGTGCAACTTCAGTTCCGTGCTAATTTCTTTTTTAAGGCCATTGAGAAACACTCCTTTTAACATCCCTTGGTCAGCAAGTTTGAGAGGAGCTACAACCATTTCAAAGTGATCCCGGTATTCCATTACAGAACCAGTTTGCCTAATACTGAGCATAGGACCAAACGGATTCTGCACTAAGGCGGGTTGAAAACGGCGGAACAAAGCATCTTTGAAGTTAACCCAAGAATGGTCATCAGTCTGTTCATCCCACCATTGGTACCAGTTCAGAGCTTTTCCGGCCATGGCTATCAAGATTATTTCTACTTTATCCTCTTCTGCCACATGGTTGAGTTTGAAATAGCGCTCAACCCTAATCAGCCATCCATAAGCATCGTCTCCACTAAAAAGTGGTAAATCGACCTTTCTTCCAGTATATACACGGTCGCTGATTCTCTTCTGATAAGGGCTGCGTGAAACTGAGTGAGTTTCATGAGATTTACCTTCAGAACTAGAGGAGCTCACGCATGCTGAAGTATGGCGACGCCGGTTTGTGGTTGATCGTCCTCTTCTCTTATGGTGGTCACCCTGTAACATGATATTCTTCAATTCGGCCACGGTCTCACGCAAGCCAAGCAGTTCATTCACGGCAGTTCTCACTTCCGCTAGGGTGTTTTCCAGATTTTCCACACGTTGCTCCATTCTCGATCGGGTCAAGACCATGCGCAGGTAAGGCTTTTGTCAATGGCTTTGATACCAATGATAAGTAACTGAAGAATCCAAGAAGAAAGTAGTAGTTTATTAATGAAAATTTAGTGAAGGAATACAGAAAGTCACGAAAGGAAAGGTTTGAGACTCTTCGAGTGCCTAAACCCTATTATTGAACAAAACTAAAATGACTTAATAAGGCTCTAATTCTTGGTAGTGTTCAGGTCCCTAACAAATGAATACGGTGCACTGGATTTGGGTTCTAATGGCCCTAAAAGTTTAAATATGTATTAAAAGGGATGAAAGACACGGTGGCATTTTTGTAAATAAATTAAAGTTTGTATTCATTGTAAAAATTGGACTTCCTGAATGCAATAGCGCACTGTATACGATCAAAAGTGAAAACCGTCTTAGTGCAATAGTGCAACGAAAATGACCAAAAGTGGAGTCATTCGCACTTTGTACGGGAGCATCACTTTTATTGTAACCAAACCCTATATGTATGTATATATGTATATCCATATAGTGAACAAGCAAATTTCTAATTGCAGGATCAGAACCAAATCTTGAGTTGAACCTTTGGGATTTTGGTATGGAAAGAGATGACTGTTTTCTTGGGTTGACATTGGCAGTCAACCCAACTTCTTCTAGAAAGGGTGGGTTGTCTATGTTGTTCTTTAGGTTCATGCTCCTGAATGGAGTTGTTTTCTTTTTGGTCCAATCATGCTGTTCTGTTTACATTTTATACAAATACTTGTCAAGCTGATTTTCAGAATTTATTTTCTACAGAAAGAGAAACTAAAGATCAAGCTGCAGTAAAGGTGCGCGGTTCTGCATATGATGTTATTACGTTTAAAACTCACTCTCACAGTTCTGATGTGTTTGATAATGAACAGGACATGCTGTTATGCTCAGGTTTCCAGGATTGTTCACAGCAATCAGGTAAATCTTTTATCTTCAGTTGCATATCATATGTTCAAAACTGAAGCTCAGGTTTCCGGAATTCCGTTAAATGTATGTATGTATGTATGTTTTTTTGTTTGTTTGTTTGTTTGTTTGTTTGTTTGTTTGTTTGTTTGTTTGTTTGTTTGTTTGTTTGTTTGTTTGTTTGTTTGTTTGTTTGTTTGTTTGTATGTATGTTTGCATAGTGATATGCCTGCTGCTGCTGGTTTGCAGTAGTCTGGTCACTGCTTCCTTCTGATCAGCATGGAATCTTAGCTCCAATGGAACCTTCCTTGTCATTATCATTCAGGTTCGGTTAGATCTATTTGTCTAAAGTGCAGTTTTCTTCTCTTCCTGTTTGCACTTCTTTGGATGAGGTGTTGTTTTTGTCTTGTTTAGCCAGCAACTCATCTTTCTCTTCATGCCACGGACATGTTTTATTTTGTTGGTGTTTGAAGTTTGGACTTCTAGGGGCCCATCATCAATATATATTAAGAGATACCAATAATTCCACAATATGGTTGTAGACTTGTAGTACACATATTTGGTTGAGCATGCTCGGAAGGCATTAACGGATATTGATTTTATGAAGAATGGGAGTATAGGGTTGAGAGAAGGGTGTCTTTTTCGGTGGAGATGTTAATGTTAGCACAATAGCACAGAAATGTGAAAGGATGCTTGGGAAAAAATGACATTTTAAAACATATAGGAAATGAGTTGGAAGGCACGTGCTAAGTTAACTTTTCTAGGCTAGTTCACTTGTTAGAATTGCAGATAATCTTGTAGTTATAGAAGTCTTGGATAACAAGCTTTCTAAAAATGAAAAGTTTTCTTTATGTAAAGTATCAATTTCAAACTCTGTATGTCCACTTAGATACAAAATGATCCCCCAAACTGTTTAGTTCCTTGGTTTAGCTAGGGCTCCCAAAATTCAGATTTGTGGCCATATATATAAATTTTTCTATAGTGAAAATTTAACACTTTTTAACTGAACTTGGGTGAGCCATATCTGGTTACCCCATCGCTACGCGCCTACGCTAATGTTTATTTATGAAGTTGTGCACAATGGTTTGATGAATACAAATGCACAACTTCTATCCAAGTGTAGTTTTTTCCTTTTTCTTTTTCTTGTTTATTGTTGATATTATAGTAACTTCTCTAGTTTTCTGAACTGGCCAGTATGTTTATTATTGAAACTCTCCTTGTATATCATATGGCAGTTCAGTTCAACGGGGAAAGATTGGTGTTCCATACACTGCAAGATTGGCATCTATGTAGACTAGCATTTCGACCGTTCCTAACTGGCCATGTCGTCACCCCCCTATAGGACACACATTCTCTTTAAGAGCAACACCATCATACACGTTGGAGGATAAGATTCTCTTAGGTTGAATAGTTATGGCTAAAATACCTGAACAATTTTTTCATCTAAAAGGAGATTTTCGTTCATGTATTTTAGTTATAACTATTCGAGCCCTTCTGGTAAAAGTTATTTGGTTGAAATAGGCTGAATCTTTGTGTTATTGGGCATTTCTAGGTCTAACACCAGTCCACTTCCACTGATCTCAATTTTGTACAAAAGACTGTTTTGATATGTATTTGGTCCATGGCTACGTATAACCATTCTTTATTGTCTCATACTTCGTATTATTTGTAGCCTTGTAGGCAACTCCATGTCTCCATGGTACATTATCTATGTAAATCCCAACTAGTATTGCACCTGTGCGATGCACGGTGCGTGAATTGTGGTTGGGATGTAAATATCGTTATGGATAAAATATAATTGGATACAAGTTAATTATGAACATTAGATATAAGAAATAAATGTAAGTTATAGTAATATGTAATGTGATTATCATAGAATTTGAAACATTACAAATTATGAAACACTTCCTTGTAGACAACTTTCATCGTCTCATCCTTTGGACAACCTTCTTCATTAAGAATGAGGATTTTGAGACCCGCGCGATTGGTTACTTTTGAAACAGCAACATATAATTGGTTTTTTCAAGAGGAGATCAATGTGGGTGACAGGGTGAGGGATTACATGTAGCACTTGACGAAATCTCCTCCCAACACAATTGACTTCCCACCAAATGGCAAATTTAAACTATTTGGGTTGGTGAACCTAAGAACGTCACACATACTTCTATCCAATGCCTCGAAGCAGTACTTGTGTAGCATTGGAGCTTCATCCCAAATTATCAACTTACACTTAGCAATTAGCATGGCGAGCAGACTACCCTTCTTTATATTGCAGGCTGAATCTTCATTCAAACTTATTGGAATTGCAAAACGCGAATGAGCGGTTCGACCACCAGGTAGTAATAAGGAAGCAATGCCACTTGATGTCACATTTAGTACTATGTCCCCTTTGGACCTCAATGCTTCTGATAGAGTTTTCCATACAAACGTCTTCCCAGTTCCACCATATCCATAAATAAAATACATCCCTCCACACCCGGTTTCAACTGAATGCATGATCTTTTCATATACAACACGATGTTCACTTGTCAGATCTTGAAACAGTCTCTCGTGTTCTTCATGTATCGCTTGACGATCATATAAGAGCTCTTCTTGAACTAATCTATTTTTAGAAAGTAAAGTTGAACTTGACTTTGGATATGGCATCGGAGGAAAATTACGTAAACTTTTCCCTCGTCGTTGCAACAACATTTCCACCTCCGTTAATGCTGTCATTTGCAATTGCTCGTTGTCCATTACAAATCCTGCATTACACAGAATGTCGTATGAAAGACCAATCAAATTAATGCACAAAATATAAATAGCACGAAACAATGAAATTGATGTGGTAATAGGTATAACAACAAAAGGAATTTCCATATACCTGGATGTTGATACAACTTACGTAGTTTGTATTGAATATCTTCTGCCATGTATATCCAACATTTCTCCCAAACATATTCAGGTCGACTCATGGACTCAGACCACAACAATATCACAAAGAGCATCCTTAGTGCAAAGGTTGTCGTGAAATCATTTGCCTCAGTAAAACCGTCAATAAATTCTTTATCGTCGTCTAGAAATCCCAAAGCGTAGCAAGCTTCACGATACAAATTATACAACACACCACTTATGGTCCTCAAATCCTCATAACACGTCACTCCCCGGATATGGTTTAATAAACATCTCATATAATATGACTCCTCACATCCTGGTGGAACATAGTATATTCGGCCTATGGAAAACGCTTTCTTTCTTGGCATCCATTCCCTTGATTCACTTTTCCATACAAATTTCTGAGGGAATTTGGCATATGTTATCTGTCGTGTCATTTCGTACTTTTTGTTAGCCTCCATCCAACCCAAAAACATGCTAGCCTTAACACTCCTCCCCCGATCAAAGAATCAAGAGGATCATTGTTTGAGAAGACCACCGTTTGCTTTTCTTTCATGTGAAAGCTAAGACGTAATACATTTTGATTTCATCCTCTGATTTACTTTGTTCATTTGCAACCGCGTTATTAAAAAAACTTGCGGTCACTCGATCACGTCCTTTATTGATGTACTTAAACAAGTATTTAATGGATCGAGATTGGTTGCATCACTCGACATTGATATGCCCACCATATTTCATCAACAAAAACCGATTATGCGGAACTACAAATCGGTTGTCAAGCAGAACTTTATTTTTCTCAATAGTTCGTCCATCATCTCTTATCCTATAAACCGGATATCCATCACCATCAACCGTTGTGACATCGCACCAAGCTTTAAGGAAATGCTTGGTACACTTATTATTAACCATACATGGAGCTGACTTAGCATATATACCGCACGGGCCATGCATCATAAAATCACGAACTGCGTTGTAATATTGTGGATCCTCATCTTTATCAGGAATCTTTACTAAAATAACCCTATCAATGTCAGATGGTGTTGGCAACTTATCCTCACATTCCATCCATAATAGTATGTGTGCATGTGGCAATCCTCGCTTCTGAAACTCAACAATATAAACCACTGCAAAATGTGCTTTAAAAATTACTACAATTAAAAATAGAGCAAGTAAATGTGTGTTTAATGGAAAATTAGATATTTACCTGCTTTAACACTACCAAACACCTTATTACGCCGCAAGTCTTTGATAAGACCATCCAGCTTTATCTTAAAAACCCGACATACGATATCAGGACTGTTAGGATATATTTTATTGTGTTCAATTTAATTAGATTTATCTTTTTTAATTTAGGATTTAATTAGTGGGCTAAGTAATTAATTAAGGCCATTTAATTAGAGATCATTCGGCCCATCCTAATGTAACAAGGATGTTCGGCCATACTCCTATAAATATAGGATGAATGGACCAAACATACTTGAGGGTTTCACAATTAGAATTCTTTCTATTAATTTTAGTTTATTCGACTATTGAAATCTGGGCATAGTTCACACAAGGACGATCCTCAGACTTAAGATTCATATCACGTAAAAAACGATCAAACTCGGGCCATTTTGGGTTGCACGTTAGTGTGATAAACAAATCAGGATAGCCCGCCCATCTATAAATCGCCATTGCATCTTGGTAATTTTGTATCATGTACCTTGCACTACCAGTGAAAGTAGGCGGCAACACAATTCTCCTTCCTTGAGTGGTAGGATCATTCTCTCCATGCAAAACATCATCATTTAAACCTCTGTACATTTCACAACGGAGCTGTTTTTGATGAGTTCTAACATACTTCAATCTTGCAGACTCTATCAAAGTATAACCATCAACAACAAATTGCTGGAAGAGTCTTTTGGCCTTCAAAATAGTCAAATAGCTATATTCTCTCTCCTATAAGCGATAAGCCAAAAATTCTCGTATGCTTACACTGCGTCTACCTGACCCAACGACAATCCTAGAACCCGAAAGTGCAATATCTTCTCGGTAACCATCCTCATCAAATGGAAACGACAAAGGATACTGCATGCCAAAATATGCTGGATTAAGTTCATTAATACGCTGCAACTTTCTCCTCTGTGTTTCCACCAAGATATCTCTCTCCCCCATAGACTCGTCAAAATCGCCTACAACTAAAGCAACAACCTCAGATACAGTTGGGAGGTTATATGTTCTTGCATCGCTACTCCGTTTGCCTATCAACCTCAATCTCACGTCAACACTCTCACCTTGATGAATCGTTTCCTTAGTCATTCTAAATGATTTCATCAAAACATTGTGATCATTCAACATGTTTCTTAAGTCCTCCACAATCTCAATATGCAACCGGTTAGTATCAGCGTCTCCCCTAAAAAAATGAAACAAATCTTCATTCGACAATTCCTATATTTAGCATAAATGAATCAGAATAACAAATCTATTCGCAACATTAAGGTTACCTTACAGATTTGATCCGGTTCTGTAGCTCATTCTCAGTATCATAGATATACAATTGAGCAAATTTTGGAGCTGATCCAACAGTGGGAAGTTTAAATATTGGAGGAGCTTTGCCTTTATTAATCGACGTCTCAATGCGACCGCCCATAGATGTGAAAGCAAACATACTATTGTAAGATCTGATATTTTCTAGAAAATGCTTGCTTCTTGCATCTCTTCCATCTATCAACCCTTGCAATAACAGTGGTGGTTCTTTGTTGACAGGAAGCTGCACCTTGCCCTGTGAGCAACAAAGCGAATACTTCGGATTTCTCTTAGTAGAACTCAATTCATTCCTCTCTTCATACCAAAACAGTGTTTCACAAAACGGGCACACACAATTTGGATCGCCAATATCCCATAACTCTGAAATACAATTACCAGTGTCTACATAATTAAGACCAACAGATGTGAAAAAATTATAATTATAATACATATATAATTTAAAAGGACCAATAACTTAATAATACATTAAACTCGATATTGTTGTTCAACAATAAGTTAAACTTTTATTTTATAGAAAGCCAACCATTTGACGATTTAGCACCAACGCCCTTTAGATCTTCATAATCCACATATGTATCGTCTACATTGACATCATCAATATCTACATCTTGCGTGAAATAACTATTTGCAGCCGGAGCAGCGTTGTCCATGATGTCATCTAAGTGACTAAATGGAACCGATGTAGATGCAATGTTACTTGGCCTCTTATCAATCAGAATTGGCCTCACAATCGCTGGCGGGTGAGAAAACACATCTGACACTAACGTCCGATCGATCGACTCCTTAACTACATTATAAGGAGGATAACTTTTGTTAATCAAAGAGTCAACGATACAATTACTTGAATAATATGTGTTAAAAATAGGTAGCTCATGCACATTTTGGTGTATTTACCAGCTGTGACATCCATTAAAGGGGAAATGGTTGAAGATTTTTGTTTTATAGTTCCCGTAACACTGGTACAAAGAGATTCATGAAACCGAGCATTTTGCAAACTCCTTCGGCTTACAACACGTTCGTTGGCGTTATCATCTGCATGAAATAATGGTTAACCACATATGTAAGAAACTATAGTTATTCCTATCAGTTCATGAATCTATAAATTTCATGAATAATCACAATTCATAAATATAATTTAAATTTAATCTTAAACATAAATAATTTCACTAAAAGCTAAGATTAATCACAAATGATGTAAATTCCAATAATCACAAATAATTTCACTGTGAACGTGATAAGAATAAGTAAGACTGGAGTTACATTTCTGGCTGTATTGAATGACCTGACTACAGATGCGCATTTTAGCTGTTGTTTCATATAATTTTTTCATTATTATATTAATAATTTATATATATTTTTCCCATAACAAAACAGAATCTGCCAATAAAGCAACTTCAACGTAACCAAAACTTCATAAATTTTAACAGCATCAACTGAATTA